TGTTACATAATTACATGTCCTTTAGCTATACTAATTATAATGTTACATAATTACATGTCCTTTAACTATACTAATTATAATGTTACATAACTATATGACCTTTAGCTATACTAATTATATTGTTAAATACATACAGGTATTTATTAAACTAATTAGTGTTACATAATTACAAGTACAACAATTGAGCTGATTATATTGTTATGTAATTACATGCTTTAGCTATACTAATTATAATGTTACATAATTACAAGTACAACAATTGAGCTGATTATATTGTTATGTAATTACATGCTTTAGCTATACTAATTATAATGTTACATAATTACAAGTACAACAATTGAGCTGACTATATTGTTACATAAATACAGGTATTTACTGAACTAATTATAATGTTATGAAATTACATGTTACATAACTGTATGCTCTTTAGCTATACTAATTATAATGTTACATAATTACACATAAGTTGGCTGATGTCCTTTAATTAAACTAATTATATTGTTAAATACATAGAGGTATTTACTCAACTAGTTGTATGATAACATAAATACAAGTCCACATTAAGTTATTGTGTCATAAGTACCACATCCTTGAGATGGGTCCTAGCGAGTATTTAATTATTAGGTAGCTAAACTTACGACTGCTGTTGGTGGGGGTTGGGTGTTGTTCAACTGATTGTCACTTGGAGGCCTGTATATTGCTGCTGATGGCACACTCTGACGGCGAGAATGTGCTGCTGGACCTTCCAATTCTTCATTTTTGTAGAACATCTTGTCTTTTCCACCTGCTGCACCCTGGTGTTTGGTACTTCTGTATGATGGTGGAGGACTTTGATCCTTTGATAAAAAAAAGTAATAATAATAAAGCTGTTGATTTCAGTTAGGATTACTGTAGTAGTAAGGTGCTAAGAACTTTAAAAAAGTGGTTAATAAATCAGTTTGGAAATATTGCACATATATGCAGTTTACAAGTGTTTCACTGGAATCACTAGGGGTGCACATGTAGCAACCGTTTAATACTGCCAATGTAATTTTCTATTACTGTCTCTTTTTAAACAATGGTATTAAATATTGCAGCATGTAACATCTCCCCATGAATCATCCAATTCTCTTTTACAATGGCGTCTTTCTTTTGAGGAATTGTTGCTGAGTTATGGTTATAGATATGCAACTTCAGTAAGCCTCATAACCATTTGTCAACAAGAGTAAGGGAAGTGGCAGTTGAGAACCAACTCCTCACCAAAACCTGGTATGGATGAATATGATATCCTGGGTTAATCAACACTGTTGGAGTTCTGGTATGGTCCAGGCATGATGGAAGTGGCTGTTGAGAACCAACTCCTCACCAAAACCTGGTATGGATGAATATGATATCCTGGGTTAATCAACACTGTTGGAGTTCTGGTATGGTCCAGGCATGATGGAAGTGGCAGTTGAGAACCTAGTCCTCACCAAAACCTGGTATGGATGAATATGATATCCTGGGTTAATCAACACTGTTGGAGTTCTGGTATGGTCCAGGCATGATGGAAGTGGCAGTTGAGAACCTAGTCCTCACCCAAACCTGGTATGGATGAATATGATATCCTGGGTTAATCAACACTGTTGGAGTTTTGGTATGGTTCAAGCATTATGGAAGTGACAGTTGAGAACCCAGTCCTCACCAAATATTTTGTCTGTTTTATATGGTTCTTAAAAATTTTCCACATATTCATATTAATTATATAATTACCCTGTACATATGTACGAGTCACATTAAAGTCATAGAATTAAATTTATGTTTAAATAACATAAATTTCCTGATTTAAAACTAACATAGAAAATCCTGAAAGACTTGATTTAAAATAGCAGGATGTCCTGATGTAATTAACTAAAGGCTTTATCATAAATGGAGCCTCTTTACAGTTGTATTCATTGATGTAAAAAGGCCTTACCTTAACTGGAGCCACTTTACAGTTATATTCATTGATATAAAAATGCCTTACCTTAACTGGAGCCACTTTACAGTTATATTCATTGATATAAAAATGCCTTACCTTAACTGGAGCCACTTTACAGTTATATTCATTGATGTAAAAATGCCTTACCTTAACTGGAGCCACTTTACAGTTATATTCATTGATATAAAAATGACTTACCTTAACTGGAGCCACTTTACAGTTGTATTCATTGATGTAAAAATGCCTTACCTTAACTGGAGCCACTTTACAGTTATACTCATTGATATAAAAAGCCTTACCTTAATTGGAGCCACTTTACAGTTATATTCATTGATTTAAAAATGTCTAACCTTAACTGGAGCCACTTTACAGTTATATTCACTGATATAAAAAGCCTTACCTTAACTGGAGCCACTTTACAGTTATATTCATTGATATAAAAAGCCTTACCTTAACTGGAGCCACTTTACAGTTATATTTATGGATGGACTTCACAATGATGGCAGTCAGTATCACCAGCACAATCATCAAGATGAAAACACCAATCACAATTCCCATTATGATGGGAGCAAAGTCAAACTTATCACCTAAATGAAAAACAGTATAACAACATTACAAGACTTAAATCAGTAAAAATTCAAAAAATTTCACTATCCTGTAATTTTTGTTTTTCAGTATTTCTCTACTTTTAAAATTTTTGTTGAATCAAAAATGAAGTAAGGTAACACGTACTGTGTGAACAAGGCTAGAAGGTGATGATATTAAGGGAAAAGATAACAGTGTGGGTTTGAAGTTTATGATACAAGTGAAACACTAGTTCCAGAAGTTCATGATATGCTGATGAATAAATAATGATATAAAGTAAACATATGATCTGATGTTGAAAGGTGATGATTAGCTTGTTAAAACCATACAATGAATTGGATACAACAATAACTTAGAAGTTACCTGTCTTTACTGCAGAGAACTTAATCTTTTTGGTAAAATTTTAGCACTGAAACATGCTGCATCTAAAGTTTCTATCACTTGTACGGGTGAATGAGATGTAAACTTGGTTAGCACTGAGATATGCTGCATTTAAATGATAGAAACTTTGTACGGGTGAAGTAGATGCAAGTTTGAACTGTATAAAACAAAAGTAATAAAAATCACTTACTGGCAGCTGCTGAAATCAGTGGTATAACAAGAAGAACTCTCCCATCTAAATCTAACAGGGTAACTTCTCCTTTTTGAATCCTTCTCTCTAGTTCACGTTTGGCATCTTGAAGTGATGACTCGTCAACCATAATGGATCCTTCGTGGACTGGAACCAAATTAAAGCTGAACAGAATACTTCCTGTATGAAGATTAATGGGAAAACATTGGCAGACCAGGAATGACACAATAACACTAATTTAAAGAAAAAAAGAGACCCATTTTTTTGGTACCACAGTATTTCTCATTAATTTGTAAGAATCAACAATATGCAAAAAAATCTAATTTGAAAACTATTGCAATAATGTATATTATGTATGTGATGTGTTCAAAGAAGCATCTTTAGAAACTTATTCCATTACCTGAGGTTACATCAAAGTCCTGAAAACAAGGTATGGGAACTTTCATCTTAGTAGACAGCTGAGAAATAGCATGACTGATGAATTTTTTCTTTCTTCCCTTGACAACAATGTCGTATTCATCTTTGACTTTGAATAACACTGGCAGCTTTTTAACATTATCAAATTCTGTATTGGCTTTGTTATCTAGGGTTGTTGAAGTGGTGACTAAAGTCTTTGTTAATAACTGGTCATCTGGTGTTTGGTTAGAAGAACCGAATAGTTGCTTTTGACTGCTCGCTTCTGTTGTTATTTCAGAAATTGAGGTTTCCTTACCATGATCTTCTGAACCAGAAACATCTGCACTTAAAGAATCAACAGGCATTTCCTTTCCTTCTAAGTCTGTTAGTGCTAATGTCCCATTTTTATTCATGCTCTGGAGCTCTTCAGCCTTACCTTCTGAGTCATTCAAGTGTGTTAGGTTAAAATCCACGATGACACTTCCTGTAATTAAACATTCGTGGGTTAGGTATGATTCTCTACAAAAAAAAAATTGTGTTTTAAGCAACAAAGCTTGTTTCAAAAACTGATTTAACAAAGACAAAAAATAGTGCTGTAAAGGAAACCTCCATACAGTGTTTTACTTACATAAAATAGATGCCCTCACATGGTTCTGTGATCTTGTTGTTAAACATCTTAACATATTTCTTATGTTATGTGTTGTATATTACAGAAGGCATTAAAGTTTTGTAGTACAAATACAGAAACTTAACACATTTTTTTATGTTATGTGTTGTACATTATGGAAGACATAAATTTTGCATTACATATACTGGGACTTTGCATTGAACATCCTGTTGTATATGTAATACAAAACATTTATGCTTTGCATAATGGTTAAAGTATAATACCTGAAGTATGTAAGATTCCAGTATTTCCCTTTTATCTTTACCATTAATGTAGCTACAATGAGGCCAGCTGGGCCCTTTTCTCTTTGTCAAAATTGGGTCATTTAATTTGTAAAAATATGGTAAGGAGGAAAGGAAACAGTTTGTAGACATATTAACGTTACGCATTATAATGCAATTTTAGGAAAATGTTATTTCTATTAAATTTATCAAAGAAACAGTGATCTGTTATACTTGAACAAGAACTATGGGGTTGACATGTCCTTAACTGTTGGTAATGAAGAAAGAGTAACATGATGACTTGATGGTGAAGAAAGTGTGACATGATGACTTGATGGTGAAGAAAGTGTGACATGATGATGAAGAAAGTGTGACATGATGACTGTTGGTAATGAAGAAAGTGTGAAATGATGACTGTTGGTAATGAAGAAAGTGTGACATGATTACTTGATAGTAAAGAAAGTGTGACATGATGACTGTTGATGGTGAAGAAAGAGTGACATGATGACTGTTGATGATGAAGAAAGAGTGACATGATGACTGTTGATGGTGAAGAAAGTGTGACATGATTACTTGATAGTAAAGAAAGTGTGACACGATGACTGTTGATAATAAAGAAAGAGTGACATGATGACTTGATACTAAAGAGTGTGATGACATGACTGTTGATGAAGAAAGGGTGACATGATCATTGTTTATTGTGAAGAAAGAGTGATGTGATGACAGTTGATGGTGAAGAAAGAGTGACAGAATGATTGTTGATAGTGAAGAAAATGATAGGATGACTGTTGATGATGAAGAAAAAGTGTTAGGCTTTAGCAAGTTCTGAACTTTGTTGTTGATTGAGAACTTTATATATATATATATTTCACTAGCTAGTTGAAACTCTAGTCATTGAAGTTACCAACAAGTTTATAGGATTCTTGAAATGGCTAAAATTGATGGACAATTGTAAAAAAAAAAAGACTTATAACTAATGCTTTACAAATAAAATAAAGATCTAAGAATATGCACCTCTAGAGACTGTCAAATTCTTTATTTGTTCCATTCTAAGCCTTAAAAGGTTTGCTATTTGCTGAGAAATATGTTCAGCAAATTCTGTCTTTTTCCCAGACACTGCTTTATCATAGTCAATATTAAGTCGAATTTTAACCCGAACAGTCTTCCTTTCTTCATCATTTTGGTACATTTTCATTGTTTCTGAACTGCTGGTGTCATTTAAAGTAATATAAAGTTCTGTAGGATCTACTGTGGTTGAAGGAATGTCTTGCAGAACAGAACTAGAATAAATTAAAAAACAACAACAATTCTAAATCAAGGTTTAAAAACTGTAGAAAAATAACTAAGAAACAGTAATAAAAACAGCCAATACTGTAAAACATGTACATACATTAAGTCTCATTTCATAGCCATTATGGCAAAAGGTGTAAGCACATTGAGTTTAAACCTATTTTAGTCAATACTGATAAATATTTTGTTCATTAAGTCCCATTTCATTGACAAAACTGTAAAACATACGTTCATTAAGTCCCATTTCATAGTCAGTACTGAAAATATACATACATTGAGTTAAATCCCAATTTATAGTCAGTAGTGTAAAACATATATTGTGTTAAATATCATTTCATAGTCAGTACTGTAAAACATACATACATTGAGTTAAATCCCAATTTATAGTCAGTACTGTAAAACATACATACATTGAGTTAAATATTATTTCATAGTCAATACTGTAAAACATAAATACAATGAGTTAAATCCCATATCATAGTCATTGCTCTTAACTGTGTACATGAAGCAAATTCTGTTTCCGAGTCAATACTGTAAAACAGGATGAGAAAGCAATGTCAGTACTAGTCAACCATACATGAATATTATTAAAAGTTCTGCTTTGTCCATGATGAAGACAGTTCCACCTGTTGAAAGTGCTAGGGTTTTATTGGTTTTTTTAATGCATTTACTAACTTTTTTGATCCCTCATGTTTTTTATTATCGTTACTTAAAAAACTTCAATGTTTAAACTAAAAGTGATGAAAACTATAAAATACAGTTTTTGCAATGGTCATTAAAGAGTACACAGGCCTGCAAATTTAAACTTAATAAAATTGTTTTAGTTTTAATAAGGGATTTTCCATAACTCAGGTACACAGATTTCACAAATCGGGAAGAAAAACTTGCTTGGATCTAATTATTATGTTTGTTAACAAAAGTATGAACAAACTGAAGAAAAGGGAAGAACACTGATGTCAAACAAATATGCATCTTCATTCATCCTGATTTTTTGTGTGAAGTCTACATCTTTTAGTATCACAACTACATGTTGTGGTCTTTCTTTAATGTATTGCATTTGGAGCATCTCGTTTCAATGCCCAGCAGTAATCAGCCATCCACCTTCCTTGATACCTCCTCTCCATTTCCTTGATGAAACATTTTCAGATGTTTCAGGTTGAAAACAATCCATATCATCATTTCTACTGACTTCAGAATCAGATCAAACTGTATCAAGTCTCCAGTGGAGTAGGTACAGGTACATCAGGTCCATGAGCAACAGGTCTTAAAGCAGATTAAAGGTTCGGATAAGAAATTTCCCTTTTACTTCGAGTGTTGTAGCCTTGCACGTTACATGAGCAAAATTAGCAGTCATCTCCGTGGTTTCTAGGCTCATGCCAGACCACTGGAATTTCAAAAGGCAAAGACTTTTTCTTACCTTTAGTCCATTGTCTCAACTCTTTGACATAAACAGTGCAAACTTTATGCGGAGCCCATGATTTGTCTTGATTCCCAAGTTTTATTCCACAATATGCGTAATATGCTTGTTTGACGAATTCTGTAATGTTTGCCTTTGTTTCTTTACAACAAATTTACCACCAATATAACTGTAATGGGCAGCACCCTTGTGAGCTAATTGTTGGAGTTTCAATTATACTGCCAGTTACACCAAATTCATTTAGTGGAGGATTTGCAGTGGTGAGTGTAGCTCACAAGTTGCTAACTCGAAATAATTTACAGCTAGAATAAAAAATCAGAGTCCCAGACCAACATTGAACAGAATATAATGTCATTTATTAAACTTTTCCATATAACATTCAATATAAATCAAAAGTTCGTTAATTGTCAACTTCTTATAACCTTTTTCATTACTGTTAATCAGTACTATCCACTAGTACATATAAAGTACACTTATTTAAATAAATCTATACTTACAACAGAGCTAGGCTAGTAAACTTTTGGAGATTTGAGACTTCCATAGTCATAATCATGAACGAGAGAGCTGGTCAGGGTTATTCTGAAGAACTTAAAGGAGGACTGATTATTTTGGCTTCATACAGGGGTTTTTAACCCATATTTTCTTGGTATTCTCGCGACCTTCCAAATAGTATCCAGAACTACCTGCAAGTAGTTCTACCACTTTATTGGTCGATCTGTGCAACTTCCCAGGCTAGTCAAAAACCATAACCAAAACTCTCAAGTGATTGGTTACTGTTATGGTGAGTTAGCCAGCTGCCTTTTTACTTGTACTAATACACTAGTGTCTTGTAAGGAATATGGCATCAAAGTACCACTTTGGCTTGTTAACATCAACTTTTTCATAGCTTCCACATTGCTAACGAGTTAGCGTCAGTAATCCATCACAACCTGTTACGGGTGCTCGTGCACTTACTTTGTTGCCAGGCAATATCTTTACATAATTCTCACTGATTCAGCTAGCTGTACTCAAAATCTCTCGACCTTATTTCGTAATACAGGCGTCTTTACTTATGCCATTTCTCCATGTATATGTTTGCTCAGAACTTAGAAAATTATTATAACTTCATTATTAAATTCTTTTTCAACTATTAAACATACTGAAGTAATTGTAAAATTCCCTCAAAAATATTCAGTTGCTTCATAATCAAATATGTTTAGGTCATTTACACAACCTCTTGTTGCCATAGCGATGAATAGATAATACTGAAAAGAAGAAAAAAAAGTCAAAGTGCATGCATAATCAAATACTAACCAGAAATTACACATCATGTGGCATGTTAACTGCTAATATAATAGCGGTGTATTTCTTGTGGGTTCCAGAATGATCAATAAGACTCGCACACCATGATTGATTTAGAGAAATCTATCACCAGTGGTTGTCAATATTTTAAGCATAACAAAATGTGACCCAATTTTGTTTAAAATTATTCACTTCTAAAAAAAAAAAGTACATGTGATGTTTTGTAAAAAATCTGTACATGATGGAGAAAGATAGATATTTTCGGATTCAGCGTACAGGAATTACTAAAGAATATGTACAAATTTCAAGACAATAAAACCATCGCAGGCCTGTGCCATAAAATACAGTTTTTGCAATTGTCATTAAAGAATATGAAAGTTTTTAAATGGTGAGCTTACATACACATATATATAAAATAATGATTGAAATTCTACCCAAAAATTCCCATTGACTTGCAGGAACACAAGAGCACAGTGTAGTGGGAGCTTTTGTGTGGGGCTGTAGAACATCCCTCAGTTGTCCAGTTCATGCTGGTAGTGTCCAGTCTTCCACACTAGAGAGCAGAAAAGTTCTTATAAAACAAAAACTGGACATAACATCTTGTTCACAGTCATTCATGTAAAGATCTTGGGATTACATAATTGACATAACTGTACAACATGAAATATATTATTTTATATGCAAAGTGTAGATACACTTGTTAATCTAACCTATCTAAAAGCCAGTGTGTGTGTCACATCAAGTCTAAAAGCCAGTGTGTGTCACATCAAGTCATACTTTATTTCTCGAAATAGGAGTCATCATAAAAGCCAAAATGCATTTATCCAGACAGAATGGCTCGATTACAGTCTGCCCAATATAATTTTAGTGATGGGAGTTCAAGGGAGCCATGAGAGAGGAGGTGCCATAAAACCTTACAAGTGGAGTGAGTATTGAATAACCTGGCCTAGAGCCAAGGGCATAAAATTTATCATGAAAGTAAAAATATTGATTCAGTTTTAAATTTAAATCATTTCTGAATTTAAGTAATTTGTACCAGAAAGCAAGTTACAGTAAAAACAGAGTAAGACATGTAATTTTTACAGGAAAGCAAGGTGCGGTTAGTATAGATTAAAACATAATTTGTTTGTTGTTGGTGGTATAACAGAAAACAGCCTTTGTAACTTGCTTTTCTGTACAAATTACTTATTTTACCTTGATTTCACATACAAGTTACTTATTTTAACCTATACTTACTGTAACTTGCTTTCCATCAGGTATCCACTCATTTCGTGTTTGTAGAGAAAACAACAAAAGACTTTCAAAATCCTTGGCATGAAAATTTTGTCCTGTTTCGGGGCTAAGCAGCTGAAATTGTTTCACTTCTCCAGGTACATTTAAAAGTGTTATTCCGAGCTCTTCTTCTAAATGCCAGTAAGCTATACAAGGGCCGTAACAAATTCCTTCATTATCACATAACCAATATACAAATGCATCCATGTTAGATGAATGGAAGATAGCCTGAAAATACATATATATATATGAACTTCAGTCCCATCGCAAAATATATTTTACTATGGAAATTGAACACTTTTGGATTCAGGTAGAAAATCGAAACATAAAAAACTACTACTTTGATTTTTCAGTATACTAGTTGTCTATAGACAATAATATTTAAAATCTAAACAAATAAATAACATTAAAGGAGTCCAACCTAAAGACACTTTCTGTTTTTTGTGATCTTGACATTGATGGTACTTTAAAACAAGAAGTAAATATTTACTGGTTTCTATTTTATCTTCACAAGCTTTTAAACCACCTTTGTTTAAAAATAACTTGATTAAAAACTTATCATGCCTACAAAATTCAAGTAACAATATTAAAAATGGTTTTTCTATGAATGATGTTCACTGAATACTTCATATCTATATGAACAAGGTTTTAGCAAACCATCTTCACATAAATACCCTTTAGTTATAACTTTACATCTATAATTAAATACCCTTTAGTTATGACTTTACATCTACACAAAAATATCCCTTAGCTATGACTTTACATCAACACATAAATACGCTTTAGTTATGACTTTACATCTACACAAAAATACCCTTAGTTATGACTTTACATCTACAAATAAATACCCTTTAGCTATGACTTTACATCTACACAAAAATACTCTTTAGTTATGACTTTACATCTATACATAAATACTCTTTAGCTATGACTTTACATCAACACATAAATACTCTTTAGTTATGACTTTGCATCTACACAAAAATATCCCTTAGTTATGACTTTACATCTACACAAAAATACCCTTTAGTTATGACTTTACATCTATACATAAATACTCTTTAGC